CCTACATTGTCTACACCTTTCGTGGATGGAGTTGTAGAATCCTCCTTAACCAATACGTTAAGACCCTAATCACCAATGTTTGCCGCATCTAAAACACACATGGGATTCAATCGCCTTTACGATTTTCACAGCTCTTAAATCAGATTTCTTGTTAACATATCGTTAGTGAAGAGTATCGAATAACTTGTGGGTGTAGTGTGTGATTCCACACTTAAAGTTATGTCAGTTTTACTTTGTAAAGTAGAGTAGGATGACTTGTATCGCCAGAGTTGTTGAGTTGATTACAACTGTTGAAAACGTCAGATAGATAATGACCTGGAACTACTACCACGTTAGCAAAGTTAGTCAAACTTCCTCGTAATCAACGGTAGTTATAAGCCTTCAATTGTCTGTCTGATGTAATTGCTTTAATCGAGGAGGGTGAAATATAAAGTGAATGAGAAAAAGTTTCCGAACCGAAGACAAGAAAGACATCAGTTAACGAAGACGCTGGCAGCTAGTCCGAGCTGTGTACTTTGCTGGACTGGAGCATACTTGGCCACAAACTTAAGGGATTTAACAGGCTCACTAATTATCTCCGTCCGTCTTAATTTATTTCAATTTACCGCTAACAGCTTGTATCCTAAAACACCTTGTCACTACTTTCAAGCTGATGTGTGAATGTGAGGTTTAGTCACTGCGCTCTACCGCAACATTCTCTTGATAATAAATACCATATTCATAACTTCCCTTACTTGTAAAGATCACGAGAAACCTCCCCGCTCAAAGTCACACTACAGATATAGAGATCGTAGTGATACATATGAGCTTTCACGGAAACATCGGGATCGCCACTACTATCATGATTACTACGGAAGAGATGTGGATAGAGACCGGCATCAACACGATAGAGATAGAGAAGAGGGGGATCGAGATGGCCGAAGAGGGCATGAACTGAACCACGGCGAAGAAATGTGGAAGCGTCGTTCACGTTCTAGGAGTCTTGCAAGTGAGAGGGAGACAGAGGCTGTGGTGTATGTGGAAGGAATCAATTTTCGTTGTATAACCACTTTAGTTTTCAGAAACACCAGCAGAACCTGGGATTGAGGAAGAGGCAGAGATTATGCGAACAATGGGGTTTTGCAGATACAATACAACTACACGAGCCTGTTAAATCCCTTAAGTTTGTGGCCAAGTATGCTTCAGTCCAGCAAAGTACACAGCTCGGACTAGCTGCCAGCGTCTTCGTTAACTGATGTCTTTCTTGTCTTCGGTTCGGAAACTTTTTCCCATTCACTTTATATTTCACCCTCCTCGATTAAAGCAATTACATCAGACAGACAATTGAAGGCTTATAACTACCGTTGATTACGAGGAAGTTTGACTAACTTTGCTAACGTGGTAGTAGTTCCAGGTCATTATCTATCTGACGTTTTCAACAGTTGTAATCAACTCAACAACTCTGGCGATACAAGTCATCCTACTCTACTTTACAAAGTAAAACTGACATAACTTTAAGTGTGGAATCACACACTACACCCACAAGTTATTCGATACTCTTCACTAACGATATGTTAACAAGAAATCTGATTTAAGAGCTGTGAAAATCGTAAAGGCGATTGAATCCCATGTGTGTTTTAGATGCGGCAAACATTGGTGATTAGGGTCTTAACGTATTGGTTAAGGAGGATTCTACAACTCCATCCACGAAAGGTGTAGACAATGTAGGTTTTTAAATATAATGAATGACGCTTCATAGAACCAGATACGTGAACAACTATCTCGTGAACTGAAATCGCTAGCGCAGTTTGCACAGCCGGAGCTTCAATGTGGTGTACACTCTTCAGAAGTAGGTTTCTTAATCAACCAACCGAGTTGTTTTAACATGGGAGTGTGTGAGCACAGCGGCTCAGCAGTTCAAGTTGACGCACTCCGTGTTGTAGCACACAAAGTTGGTCATGGCGGGATATGAATGTTCCAGTCCAAGAGCTTTCGTGGAGTTTGCGTAGTCATTAGACACAGTTCACCATGACCTTCTCCTACAGTCGCTTCTGTCATGTTTGCAGGACTATCTAGCTTGAAGGATAATCTGCACTAAAGCCAATCCAGTCCGGTCATCTTGGCACAGCTCGTCATCAAGAGTGTCACAGGGCTCCATCCTATGGCCACTTATTTTTATTATGTGTATGAATGACCTACCATGCCGTCTAATCTACCCTACTCTTCTTTATACTGATGACCTAAAGATTTGGAGAGCAAGAAATTGATCGGAAGACTCAGGTGAACTGCAGGCAGACCCACAGCTTCTGGTGCTCTGGCGATTAGTCCTTTTCTTTTTTTCAAAGTGTAATTTCAGGAGTCTGCATATTATGAATATTAGTATATCCAGTGGTTGGGTTGGAGTATGCTTCTTATGGTTTCTTACCGAATGTTGTTGGTTTGGTGTGATCAGGTGGAACCCTGTATGAGACTGTGTCGAGACAGAAATGTATCGTGCTGTTTTTGCTATCCGGATTTTCGAATTGTGGGACTGTGCCAGGGCGACAAAGTGGGAAAATGTACCGGAACCACGAATACAAGGGTTATTTCGAAATTCAGATGGCTTTGGTACCCGTTTGTCACAACATCAGTGCATCCATCGCTTGCGAAATTTGAAATCAAATGTTGAATCAATTTGAGAACCGACAACACTACAGACCTGGCTGGTATTCGTTCCCTTTTCTATTAAGCATTTCCGAGGTCTTATGACATCTTGAGCGTTATGTTTTTGTTTTGCTGTCACACAATGGCTTCCAACGGAAATAAGTGCAGTATCATGTCCACTTAGTTTTGACTGTGCCGTTTCAGTGCCAGATTGTGGCAACGTAGACATTGTATCAGAACAGGGGAGATGTACACGGGCCTCTAGAATCGGTATGCAAGATGGGGTTGATGTCCCTGGGTTACTGCCTCCTCTGGCTGAAGCCCTAGACACTTCAAAATATGGTGTCTTAGTGCTTTTTTCAAGACTACTTTCAACCGCCATATTAACAATTACTATAACTTATGCTTACATATGAATAAGAGGTGGCAACAGTGCCTGCTCAATAGAACAAGATAAAAAAGGATCGATGACGTACAAAATAGGGAGAATGAAAGTTTCTCGACTTTACCTAGTACATTTTGGTTACTCGGTTTCACAGCAATCACGTGGCAGACCAACAAGTCCTGTTCATCTGAACGAGTGACGAAGATGCTGCAACAGATATACCACCTGAAGTTTTTGAAGTAGTTCGAAACAGCTGAACTTACCCTACAGAGTTTTGATATGGAAGTAATGATGGAATTCAATTCACCGGCTAGGAAGATCAGGTTTCTCACGCGGATAATTCACAAAATAGGTATTTTCCGGTTAGAGAGAAAATTGAACGGTGGTACGTTTCTGTGAATTCCCTTTGTTAGTTAATTTACCTGTGAAATGTGTAAGTAATCATGCTTGCTGATCGTCTTTTTAAAGTTGATTTCCAGAATTTATGGTTGGTGAGTGAACTGTGATTGCACATAATCATAATTCACCTTTTTTCACACAGTTGTCTAATGACCCATTTTTTATCTAAGTGTTGTAATTTAAACGTAATACGTTTTATCTTAATTTCGATTTCTCATACTTCCTTTTCGTTATATATTTGAACATGAATAAAATACACACCTGTCGTTTTCCATGATTAATTCAATGTAATTTATATGCTTAATAATCTTATATCTCCCAATGTATTGCAAGTAGTATAAATATATATTCTTTTATGTGGAGCATTCAGTTGATGAGTTCTACTGGAATTCGGCGAATTCATTAAATCCTGCTTTATTAACCTTTGTTGCTTGTTATACATTCGTATCAGGAAATAAATATTTCCAATTATTGGTAATTACTCACGACAATTTACTCTCCTTCGGTGGAAAGTTCATTGTCCATTTTCACTAAGAAATGCAATTATTTTCGCTATAACAACTTCTCCCATGAAAGATACGTCTAGTCAATTGGTAGCCATTGATTCGGGATTATGTTAAATTCGAAAAGAATCAATAATAACCAGATCAAGACGTACCGACAATCCACTGAATCAGTAACTGTCTAACCGACTTATGTAGAGAGGTGTACATTACTAAGCTAACGATTACGAAACAATCAGACTGTATAATCCGGCTCATTGAGTGATGGTCTAGTTCACTGAGTTATGTCCATTCAAAACTTGACTTCATAATACTAGCGATGTCATATTTCTACATTCTCTCTCCTTAAAAAGATTCCACGACTTTTAATTTTCTCTACGTATTGCTATGCCGCTTGATTTCTTGTTTACCACTTATAGTATCAAGCAGATTACAAACTGTGAAGTGAATAATTTCGGTTTCCAAAACAAAACCTGTGGTCACTTCTTACTTATAACTGAGTGATTCTCAAATTGAGAATTTGATTCTTTGTGTTGTCAGTTTGCCCAAATGACCAGACAGAATTCGAATGGTTCGAAATGAAACGACTTTCTGATCGGAATCAATGATGAGCTCCACCCCTAAAACAGCTGTCCAGTCATGAGATCACTTCAATCTGCCCGACAGGCACTACTGGTCGACTTGAATGTTATTCAACTATTCGTATCAATCGTAAGAGGATATATACTGCTTTGTTTTCGAATTACCTTTTCGAGTGTTTGAATAGACATGTGGTGTAGAGCAGCTCAGACTTGTTGGACTAATCTTGTTAATATATCCTTTTTATTATGATTCCTTTACTTTCCCAGTGGAACATAGGGGGCTTCGAGCTGGAGGCCCAACCTTCCCTCTTCGCCGGTCCTACTATCGGCTTAGTGAGGTAAAGGAGTGCATCGGTGGCCAGGGATCGAACTCCGGACCACATGAGGCGTGGTTGGCGAGCATTGTGTCGCTGTACCACCGACGCATATATCCTTTTTACAGGATATATATATATTTTTCACCCTATTGCATTCAATTACTTAAGATTGTTATCCCTTTTTATTTTACAGGAAAATCCGATTGTCCATTTTACGCACGAATTGAATTGTTAGCAGATAAACTAGCCTTAAATCTACCCAACTTTAGAGTTACCAAGATTGTTAAACAACCAAATGAATGGAAAGTGTGTAAATTATATTTTGTTTAGTATTTACTAAACAAAATAATAATAATAATTATTATTAACCAATAGGAATTTATTAAATGGATTAAAGAAACGCATGGTTGGTCGATAGAACAATCACCAGTTGTCTGGAGAGAATTAGTCAATAAAGGCGGTAAAGGCATTTTAATCGGTGGAGCAAATGAATTTCAAGAGTTGTTAGCTGCTTATTATGGTGAACAATGTTCAATGCCAACTGAAAAAATCTTACAGATTGTTGAAGATAATATCCGATATAAAAATGAAGAAGATGAAGAGAAGAGAATAGAAATTGCCAATAGAATACCTTCAACAGGGATTTTAATTATTGGTGCATCTACACCGGCGACTAAAGAAATGCTTGGTATTATTATGAATGAGAAAAAATTCACTGACGGTTTAATCGATTTATACTTACATGATGTAGTGGAACGTCATTATTATTTGTATCATTTACAAGAAATGCTTCAAGAAGGAGCATTTGCTAAAGTCAACAATATCTGCGTGCTTGATGATATTGATGAATGCTTGTCAATTGTGAAACAAGTGATTATTATGGATGTGGTCCCACGAATATGCTTAAATGCTACAAATACTGACAGAGAAGAGGAGGAGGAGGAGGATGCCTGGGAGTCAAGAGATCAGTGGTTACGACGAAGATTTTTATACTTTAATAAACTTGGACAAAAGATCAAAGAAAAATGTCAGAAATCAGTACGCATTTTAATAGCTGGTTATCCAGGTTCAGGCAAACTATCTGTGCAAACAGCATCACCTATATGCTTTGATTTGACAGCATTATATAAAATTGTGTCAACAAAAATACCATCATCTCAGATAGTTGGTCTAGTCAGACCAATTGAACTACGCGTAAAGGCTACCATAGCTAAACACTTGAAAGTACGCACATGTGATGTCACTGATCTTGTGATCTGGGGCAATGCAGGTGGTTCAATGTTTGCAGATCTTTCGCGTTGTTGTGTTTCTTGTAGAACAGCAATGGGTACAGGTGTTGTTGGTGGATGTTTTCTTCGATTTCCGGTATTAACTGTAGCTGAAAATCCAAAATGGTTAACCACGGAATTATTAAATGTTGCCTTTAAAGAAAGCAGTATGAAACATGGATTAGTTCATGGGAATGCTATAAGTGATTTATTGAAAGAATGGTGGAGTGTTAATCAAAATCGAAACGGACAGATTACCTCACTTGTTATGATATCAAATGGTGGTAAGATGATAATACTGTTAAATATATTCTGCTTGACTGTGACTAAATAATTCTCAACTGGTCTAAACGATCCATACAGACCGTTGAAAAAAAACAAATTTCAAGGAAATACATTTGAATTCAAGTTTGCCCACGGATTGGCATCAGGGAGTACTGGACAGCTGTTTCGTCAGCCTAGTTCAGGACTCTTCATCAGTACACACACCAGTGGTAGAACCCAGGACTTTCCGGTTTCAAGCTAAGCTCGTAGACTATTCAGCCCCTGGGACCCAACTCAGTGGTCCATAAATTCCACCTTGTATCATTTCGTGATTTTAGCGAGACCACCAGCCAGTGTCATCAGCGAGTGTTCGTCCTCACTCCCAACCGGATGGACCCCACTGGTCACGACTTCTCACTAGAACTCCAGGCCATTTCGTTCTAAGGCCAGTCACTGTCGAGCATCAGATTAATTTTCAAATGTTAGTTTGTAGGGATTCGAGTTATAGATCTACGAGCTAGCCTTGCAAACGGAAGGTCTTGGATTCGAACCCTGGTAGTGGCTCCTTACGGCCGACCAGTCCGAGACGAAGAAGAAGCATAAATCCAGTATTCCTTGCTGGTTTTCAATGATTCTCTAACTGATATCAAGCTTGAAACAAATCAAATCTCTACAAGCCAACACACTTGAGGACATTTGAATTCGCTGACTTTGATAAATAGGTGAAAGTAGGTGGTGAATGCATGATATCACTTTGATTTGTAGTCACTCCTCATGTATATCCTGATTACGGAGACACTTTGCTTCCTATTCAATTACTTGAAAGATAGTACTTTGAATAATGGAAACTCTTTTAAGTTTTGAAAGCAGCAGGGGGTTTTGCCATCGCGAAACCACAACCGTGTTATAAGAAAGTTGTAAGCAGAAGTCGTAAACGATGATTCACTCAGTTGCACCCGAATGATTGAGCGAACTTCCACCTCCAGTAATCTGAATGTTTTCACTTGTGTCCTTTGTGTGGTCGTAGGTACACACTGCCGAACTAGAACAAAAGACACCTACGCATTACTATTTGTTTTACTTAGTGTTTCTTTAACGGATACTGGCTGATTGCAAAAGTCGATATGGAGACAGGTAAACAATGAATTATCCTTTATTGGTGGTGATATGGTGATGAAGGTTAGTCCGGAAATAAACCAGTCAGAATTGGCCTGTGTAAAATAACGCCCACTATCTTATTGATTATGATTGCAGTGATTGGTCATATCCTTGGTGATTTTTTTTTCATAAAATCATGCGTTATTGTGTGAAATATATTTTTCGGCTCACGTCGTTGAGTGTTTTCGCTTAAGTAGAGCGTGTCAGCGAACAGGTAGTTGTCGTATACTGTTGTTGTTGGCATAGTCAAGAGGTATTTATGACGAGTGTGTCTGTGTGTAACTCGGCTTCTCTATATCATCTCAATGTATTACGAAATACAACAAAAGTCTACCTTGAAACGTATCTGAGGCCGTCAGATATTCAACATATGAATGTTTAAGTATTTACTTGTGGTAGTTACTCAGATTAGTAGTCTGTCTGTCTGTTTTCGACATAGAACTTTGCACCGATGTGCGGTAGTTCAAATCGCCACACCCTATGTAGCACACAAAGCAAGAGAAGAAAGTGGAAGGAATGAATAATAGAGACAGTAAACAGAGGTGTGAGATAAAGGAATAGTAATTACAAAGAAAAATACGGTTTCATTTGAAATCGTAAGTCACAACAAGTAGTGGATATATCTGCGCCAACTATTGAGAACGATTTTGAGCCATATCACCGATTGTCTCCAGTCATTGAATTTTACCGTCCCGAAGACCCCAACCAGGAAGCCTACACCTTCCTACGTGGCTTAAACTAACTTGTGGATTTCATTGACTGGTGCCATACTTTGGTTTGACCGCCGCTGGCTCTTTTCCAGTCTGGCCCTATACCAGCTAACATCGCCCGTCGAGGAAGGCGATGACTAGGCATACGTAGCACATGTCCTAACCATCTCAGTCGATGTAATTTCACAGTCTCGTCGACTGATTTCCCCTCCTTACCTAGATTTCGACGCCTAACCTCAATATGGCTCACCTTATTATACCACTTCACACGGGAGATAGAACGCAGACACCTATGATCGAAGACAGCTAATCTTTTCATGTCTTCTGCTCTCAATGGCCAGGTCTCACAGCCATAAAGGAGGATGGAGCGGACTGTTGAGCAGTACACACGCCCTTTGGTCGATAGTCGGATATCGCGTCTACGCCAGAGACGGCGAAAACTGGCGAATGGGAACCTAGCCCTCTGTATTCGTGCTGAAATTTCGTCTGAGATCAACCCGTTGGGGCTGATGGTACTTCCCAAGTAATTGAAGCGGTCAACGTGTTCTACCACTTCACTTCCTATTTCTAATCTAGGGGTCCATGAAGTCCAATCCTGCAGCATCATTTTACATTTAACAGGGGCGAGTTGCATGCCCAACATACGGAGATTGTTGCTCAGGGTGTTCAGTAGACTCTGCATTTTGTCCCAGTCCTCGCCTAGAAGCACTATATCGTCCGCATATTCTAAGTCAACGAGATTATTCCCTGGTAGGAAGTCAATCCCTGAGTCGCTGAAGTGTGATAGGGTTAAGTCCATTAGTACGTCTATGATGAAATTGAATAGGAATGGGGATAATGGGCATCCTTGACGGACGCCACTAGTCGTCACCACTTCAGATGACAACTCGCCATAAGCCCTCACCTGGCTGCATGAATACGAGTAGAGTGCCTTGATCAGTGCAATGTATTTTCTCGGCATTCCCTTTACAGCCAAGCATCGCCAGAGAACCTCCCGGTCGACAGAATCGAATGCCGCCTTTAGGTCAAGAAATATAATGATTGTCGGACGCCGGTAGGAATGCCTATGTTCTAGAATCTGCCGAAGGGTGAAGATATGATCAATACACCCTCTTCCTGGCCTAAAACCTGCCTGGTTTTCTCGTGGTTGTGTCTCCCGAGCACCACTTAGTCTACGCAGTATTATTGAGCCTAGGATTTTAGATACTATATTAGTCAAGCTAATCCCTCTGTGATTATCACAAGAAGACTTGTCTCCCTTCTTGTATATCGGGGTGATCAGTGACTTACACCAACCCGATGGGACTTCCTCTGATTCCCAGACGCTGTCTAGAACCTCAGTTAATGCAGACAGTAAACTGTCTCCACCTTACTTAAATACCTCTGGAGTCAATAAATCAGGTCCCGCTGCTTTGCCTTGCTTCAGATTGGTGACAGCTTTAGTAACCTCAGTTAAGGACGGAGGACCTGTGTCTATCTCCCATTCAGGGAGGTGTTGGATGTTCGGCAGGTTAAGTGTGGCTGTGGGCCAATTAAACTGCTCCTCATAGTGTTCTTTCCAGCGCTCCAGACGTCTATCCTGGGAGCTAATTATGGTGCCATTTTTCTCGGAGATTGTTTCGCTTATCATTTGCCTTTTACCACCTGTTTCCCTGATAAGCCTGAATAGTTGTCTGGTGTTGCCTATCGCCGATGCTTTTTCCATCTCTTTCGCCTTTGTCAACCACCACTGTTCACGGTCCTTGCGGAGACTTTTCGTAAGTTTCTTTTTGTGCAGCTTTCGCTCCTCATTGAATTCGGAGCTCGCTGGAATCAGTCTTCTAGCATCTATCAGTTCGGATGAGGCAGTCGGAATCCAATGGTTTTTACTCACCTTTGGAATTACCTTATTCACAGCTTTTACAGCTGTATCTATGGCTGACTTAATATTCTTCCAGGCTTCTTCAGGGTGAGCGCGGCTGTCAAACTCAGATATGTGTTTAGCTAGTTCTTCCTCAAATAGGGACTTAGTTCCCTGGTCGAGCTGGGGACGTGATGGGTTTACCGCCAGCTGTTTCCTACGTCCGTTCAGTCGTAAGCACACACGAGCGCGGACCAGTGCGTGATCGGTATCTACACACGTGTTCCAGAAGGAGCGACAATCTCCTACCGACCCACGCCAACGATAGCTTATTGCTATGTGGTCTATTTGTGTCCAGCGTTGATTTGATGATGGGGGTCGCCAGGTCAAACAGTGTCTCTCCTTGTGTTTGAAGTTAGTGCTTACAAGATACAAATGATTATCTGAACAGAATTGTAGGAGACGGTCACCGTTGTCGGTTCGCTGGCACGGAATTCCGTATGTGCCACCGACATTCTTCTCAGATTGACACAATTTCCCTACTTGAGCATTAAAGTCACCAGCTAAAACGACTATATCTGAGCGTCTAGCCTTTCGCAGCAAACTAGACAGCTTTTGGTAGAACTCATCCTTCGTTTCATCCGAACTGCAGTCAGTAGGGGCGTAGGCGGAGATTACGAAAAGGCATCGGCGAGTAGTGCAGTCCTTTCTCCTTTTCACTGATCCGTTCAGACGGACAGCACACATTCGGCTATCTACCGGGATCCAGTCAAGTAATGTCTTTTCTGCTCTAGTACTTAAGGCTATCCCAACACCAGCTAATCCTCGTGAGCTAGCCGTCGCATCTCCTGACACCCTCAAGGTGAATTTTGCAGATTCATCCTGTTGGCCAGGTGGGGTTAGGTGAATAACCACACTTGGGTCTTGTATGCGTGTTTCTGAGTGCTTCAGGAGAGATATTCACTGGTTCATAATTCAGTGTAAGGAATAAACTTCTAAACAAATTAAGAAACTCAGTTGTAGTTATTGAATTCTAAGATGATTCTGTCGTAAGTGATCGATTATAGACAAGAGAAATAGACGGAGAACACAAATTAGCATTGAGATAGTGAGTGCTAAAATTGAGGTGTCACACCCTACAATCACCGGTATGATTGATAAAAGTAGAAATAAATCTGGTCGATACAATTTCTCCTATGGGGGGGGGAGGAAATAAATATAGAGATAGGAATTATTTCAAGATGAAAATGCATCTTTTTTTCTCCCACCTAATTTCAGACTGGTATGGTGTCCCAAAAGGAATTGCATTTTCATATCCAATTATTTCTACTGGGAATGGTAATTGGTCCGTTGTAGAAGATATGCCTATGACACCTGAAAGTGAAGCTCAGCTGAAGACCTGTATTCAAGTGAGCGGTAGATTTGGCTTTTTTATATTATTATTATTATTCAAATCTGCCTAAAATTATGAGTGGAGATATTGCTTATTAGCTGAAACGCTCGACTTCTAACCAGTGGGTCCCATGCTCCTTGAATTTCATTGTAAATATTTCCCCCTCCCTGGACAACTGAGTATCATTATTTTTCATGTGCCTATTTTTTTTCTCCCGTTTAACATATCCGTACACTGTAGTGGTTGTTTTGCACCCCCTTCCTTCTACCTTTTTATGACAGTTTGAAATGCAGCACTGTCGTGCAAACTTCTAGATTGAAACTTATTCAGTTTAATAAAGGGAAATAGAATGTTATAAGTATAAAACTTGGGCACTGTGGTAGAGTATAACTCCATAATGGTTAAGATTTTATTTTGATAAATCACACAGTGTTGTACAGTTATATTAACTGATGACCACGTTTCGAGCACAAACTATTGCTCATAATCATATCAAGTCACTACTCACACAATTTTTTTTCCTTCATTTATATACATGTGTGGAATCGATTAGATATTGGAATAAAATTCAATATGAGATAATGTACACTCAGAAATAATAGTACGAGTGTTATTAATCCATTGCAATTAGATGGGAAATACGACGAGTGTTTTTATAGTCATAATAAGTTGATTGTTAGAATGTTATGATGTGCTTGAATGGAAATAGAATATTAAGATTATTTATCATCCTCTTCTGATTTGACCGGCGGTAATAATATCTTCCATATTTCTGGTATTTGCATTGAGTCACTTCTGTTGTATGTTAACTGTTATGCCATATAACGTTAACTGTTAAGGCAGGCTTAGTGAAGTGTCTGACAAACTGAGCCATAGCACTAAGTAGCACAAAAAATGACCTGAATGACGAAATAAAAGATAGAAGAAGCGTTGGTGTTAAATAACTATCCTATAAAATTCATTAAGAAGATCAGTAAAGGCCAAAAACAAAATAAAAATAATTGTGTAACTATTAGTAATAACATAAATGAGAGAGAATATAAATCTTCTACTGTTATACCATATAAGGAGGGGACATCTGAGGCCCTACGTAGGATTCTCTATAAAGCAGGAATTAGGGTGGCATTTAAACCCACAAACTCACTCAGAGACAAACTTTGTAGGTTGAAGGACCCGTTGGACCCAATTAAAACAAAATAATCTAATTTACAAAATACCCTGCAATGACTGTGAGTCAGGTCAACTACATAGGACAAACTAGTAGATCAGGGATAGTGAGAGTATCAGAACATAAGAATTTAGCTAAAGGAAAAACTGATTGACCCTGAAAAGATAAGTAATTTAGAAAAAAGCTCAGCAACTGCCCTGCATGCATTAACAAACAACCACACAATAGGGTGGGATAGGGTTAAAATTTTAAAAAGTAATATAGGTAGGTGGAAAGAGAGGTTGATTACTGAATCCTACCTGGTTCATTGAGTCTACACCCAACACATGCAACAGAAGTGACTCAATGCAAATACCAGAAATATGGAAGATATTATTACCAACAGTCAGTCGAATCAGAAGAGGATGATAAATAATCTTAAAATTCTATTTCCATTCTGACACATCAAAACATTCTAACAATCAACTTATTATGACTATAAAAACACTCGTCGTATTTCCCATCTAATTGCAATGGATTAATAACACTCGTACTATTATTTCTGAGTGTACATTATCTCATATTGAATTTTATTCCAATATCTAATCGATTCCACACATGTATATAAATGAAGGAAAAAAAATTGTGTGAGTAGTGACTTGATATGATTATGAGCAATAGTTTGTGCTCGAAACGTGGTCATCAGTTAATATAACTGTACAACACTGTGTGATTTATCAAAATAAAATCTTAACCATTATGGAGGAAATAGAATGTCAAACATGTGTGAGCTAAATGTGATGAGTTTCTACGGTCAAAAATAGAACAGTTTGATTGACCAATGGTTAACCTAATTTCTATTCATTACCATCGACTACGAGGAAATATTTTCCGACTAATATATATCCATGCTATGGTTAAGTAGTTTTTCATGAAAATATATACTACTGATATTTATATGAGTAGTTGGCAACCGATCACATGAAGCATGTGTGCGTTTGTCTGACAGATTGATGTTCTTGAATCCACTTCAATTGGATTATCGGGTCTTAGGCATTTAACTACAGTTAGGGTGATCGGTCCTGATAAATTAAGTAATGTGGGAATAAGATTGGCCTTTGCAATGCATTCGTTTGCATGTTACCAGACAATAGGTAGGAAGAAGCCAAGCACAGAATCTTTGTTCATCGAATCAACACCACATAGGTGCAATCGATATATATATATATATATATATATGGACATTCTGTTTGATGTTAGAGACAAAATACTGCGTTAGCAACAGAATACTATGTATGTTTGAACATCCTATTTCATTTTGTTGTTTGATGTAAACCAAAATCACACGCTCAGTGATTGGTTAACGAATATAAACTGTAGATATATAAACAGCGGTTTGATTAATAAAAAATATACCTTGGCTTCCATATCTTGCCTTCTGTTGTTACAAGTGGAAGTGTACTGGGCCCATAACCCACCGTGGATCGAAACCACGCTCTGACAACGACTTTGTGCATCACTGGTAGTACAGCGGTAGAATGCTCGTCAACCACGCCTCATGTGGTTCGGGGTTCGATCCCCAGTCACCAACATATTCTTAGACCTCGCTAAGCCGGTAATAAAACCGGTAAAGAGGGAAGGTTTGGTATGAGGCTAGGAACCCCACCCCGTAAAAAAATAAACTCAACTGCTATTCAAAACTTTAAAGCTCTAGCTTAAAGCCCTATATGTTCCACTAGAGACGAAAATTAATAACAATAATTAATTAAATGAACACATACCACATGTTCTGCTGTTGTAATATATTTCTTTGTCATAGTTGGTCTGTTTTATTATGAGTGCTTATTATTTCAAAATTCAATATTCACTAAATTCTGTTCTCATTTACAATTTTAGAGTATCCTAGAAGACTGGGCAGTTATTGATCCTGCACCGTTGGAGGCATTTTTAAAACAAGGTAGCAGCAATTAAAAATTTATTCATGAATATATATTATCATATTAATAACTTTTTCTGTTGCCTTTTTTCTTTTCAGGTAAAAGACCAGAAGATATTATTAAATATGATGATGAATTTGAGGCACAGGACAGTGATGAACTACTTTGAGAGAGAATTCAGTAACTTTAAATTTAAATTATTAAAAAAAAAACCAAAGTCAAAAGAAAAGAAAAAAAGAAGAAAATAAAAGCAGTGACCATCGCCGGTCGTAAATGGCCGCTGATATAAATTACTTGTAAAATGAACAATATATATTATCCCTAAAGTATTAGAAAAAAACAGAATATATAACTTGTGTAAAAATTCAAAAATAAATAAACTAATGTGTAGAGTAGAAAAAGAAAGCAGCACGCCGACAATTTGGAAGTGCATAAATAGATTTTAAAACAAAGAAACGATAAATTCCACTGCTTCCTTTGTCATTTTTAACAAATGTATGCCTAATAAATAATAAATAAATAAATATTAAAACGAAGCAAAACCAAAACGAAATGTGTCAGACTTTTGATCACTGTGATGGAAATATATAAAAAATTGTAAAGTCATTACAATAATAACTGCAAAGAAAAGAAAAATACAAATTAAAAGTAGATGTGAAAAAGATTTTCAGCTGTTTTTCGCAGGTTTGATCAAACAAACCTATCTGCTTAGGATTGAAATAAATTTGTGTAATTACTACTTGCTATTGGCGCAGTATTATTCAACTTTATTGAACTTTTCGACTGATTTTCTTTGATTTATCAGCTATTGGTCTTGGTTTATTATCAGCAGCTATGTGGCGTTGATATAAGCTGAAAAGACATGAAGAGAGAAAATATCCATATAATGATGCACCAGCCACCAGAATCGGAAAGGCAAGACAAACCTTTGTCACTCTGAAATCAGTGGGGGAATCTGTTACACTCGGTCAGCATAAACAATAAAATTCGGATTTTCAACACCAAAGTTAAGTCAGCCAGTTCTTCTGTATGAGTCAAAAATTCGTCATCAGCATCGCGAAACGCTTTTCTAAAAGCCCACTACCGACCTGTATCAACAGTAGCCTTCGCTGACTCCATTACTGATAATCAGATGGTCAGGGAGAATTAGTAACATGAAATTTTGAGAAAGGACCAGTCAAGAGCCTAATGTTCAACAAGTATGCCGAGAAAAATGGACATTCTTCCGACACACGCTAAGACCATCAGGGGGCATCGCACGCCAAGCCCTCGAACTGAACCCGAGTGGGAAACTACGAACTGGATGTTCGGAGGGGACATGGAGATGAAAGCTTGTGTGGGCAGTCTTGGAGCCACACGACAAGGGCTGTAGAGGACAGGACCGTCTGTTGTACTCGAAACTCAAAGGAATAATACTAGTATATAAGAGTGCAATGGCGGGATGCTCACCATCCACGTAAAAGGGGCAAACTGAGGCACCACTAAGCCTTGCTTATCCAGTCGATATTAGGTGTGGTAAGGAGGGAATGTTGATCATGAGGCTAGCGAACAACCCCATGAAAACAGCACCTCCCCCACTGAAACTCCAACGCTCAAGCTTGCAGCAAGTTAACTAAGGCATCACATGTTAACTAAAGTCAAGATTAGTAAAAACAAAACTTAGACCATTCCGAATATGTACACGAACAGAAAACGTGAACCTCCGCTATTGAGCGTCTCTTGATGAAATTGTGTCTACTGTTGCGAAATATCCAGATAATCTGAATTAGCTATAGTAATTTTAACCTGAAAACTATGCTACCATCCCCAATCATAAGGATGAAATGTAGTACCCGAGGGTGTTCTCCATCATCCTAGTATGAGGATCTTATTGTCTGTCTATAGAAAAAGGTTTGTACTGTGCTTATGACAACGAGGCATAAATCTGAAGTCACTAGCTTCAAAAATATTAGATGAAATCATACCTGGCTGTCACCCCGGATATCTTTTAGAACTGTTTCTAAACTTCCATCGACGACAAATCTGAGAAGGGATACAGAGTTGGATCAACTCCAAAACTTACTGCTGGTTTAGAACCGTGGGAATAGATGGATGGTGGCTTGGTAGAAGTCGAAGTGAGGTCTTCTGTAATAAACTCCTCAAGACCTAACCTGTATAATAGGAAATCACAAAGTGATTTTTCTCCATCAAACTAAAAGTGGTTCTCTAATGTCACGAAAAGTAGTGGGTGTTGGTCTATCATTTCGGTGACAGTTTCCAAATAGACGTTGAAGTGTGAGCATGTGTTCATTGCATCAACACTGTCTGAACTGAACTCAGTCTGCTTCCCATGAACTTCGTAACAGTTTGATATCATACCAAAACATAGAAACATATTCAATCTTTCACACTTTTTTAAATAATCAACTAAATTCCAAAAGAAGCAAAGATAAGGTCACAACATTTATGAACATGAAAAGAAAAAATTTTGAAAAATTAGCCAGAAGTTCATTGCAATTTTAAACTTACAATTTATAAGTTTCAGATCGTATGTAGTCAAAGACATGAGAAAGTCCAACTTGTAATTGATCTTCAATTGGTGAAACCCAATCATTACCTGACAGTTTAGCCACTTGTTTAGGTCCACAAAGATCTAATACACCTAATAGAAATTAAAAAAACAATACAACGTCAATATTAGCTGAGTAATTAACTGATTAATTAGTTATACAGAATAGTAAATTATTTACAGGAAAGAAAACATTTCATAAAAACTATTGATTTTCGTGAATACAATGTAGATTAGTGGCTATAATGCAGCAACATTGAAATAGCATTATATGCATGATTTCGTGTAAACAGTATAAGCAAGCTAAAAACTGACTGACTGGTTTCAACATAGAACTTTGTACAGAAGTTCGAGTTGCCTTACTCCATATAGCACACAAAGGAAGACAGAAAGGCAAAAAAAGGTATTCGAAAGAACGATAGTAAGCAGAAGTGTGAGGGAGGAAAAATAGTTACATGGGAAAACAATAGGATTTTATTGTATACGACAGATAACAGAGAGAGAAGCAAGTTAATGAAGCAATGAAGACATGCACTCGAATGTACTACGAAACACTTGGTGTATAAGGCTAGCAGCATTCCGTATCCTGCGGTAAGGTCATCATACGGAGATAACTCTCAGAACCACTTCAAATAGGCCATGTGTGAACGACCTCAGGCAGTTGTCCTGTAAGCTTTGCGATCAGACAACAAACATTAATACTCTTTCAGTTTTAGTGATATGAAGGTTACTGTTACCATTCGATTGTCCACACAGCAGCAGTAAATGAACCGAAATTCGTACTTCGGATCAAGTAGCTAAAGGTTACCTGCTGAATTTAATAAGCCAAACCACGAAATTCAGTGACAAATCAGGTGTCTGGGAGAATAAATCCTCATCGTAAGCAAATTGCCATCAGGACATTAGACTGGGGAGACCGCCGAAAAGATATCTTTACTGAGCTTCTTCTTCTAACATTAAGTGCTCCAAATGAACTTTGGTTTACTATTCACTGATCCCTGATTGTTCTTCTGTAATCGATTTGCATAATCATTGATTCCTCCCATGTTTTCCCAAACTACCCATTATGCAAGCACTTGTTTAATTATTACGAATATTTTGCCCTTTTTAATTGCTACATCAGTTCTGTCGTTGAATTAGCACCTCCTTGACACGTTGATGATGACTAGTTGTGGTTAACAAACTTATTACGACTAGAGTGGGAAATTCTATATTGTATTTGAGTTGTGATATATGTAGTTTTTTATACACTTTACACAACCACCACCTTGCAAAAATCGCCTCAGCGAACAATATGACACTTTTTAATCAGTCTTTACAATGATAAGGCTACGTATGTCATATGCAATATTGTTTTGCATTAAATCTCCTCCATAGTTTGCCAGTGTACACTCTTAAGAGTTCCCAACTAGAGCAAAAGATGAACTGTTTGAAGCTCGTTTGTTTGTAATGGTGGATTGATTGGTTAGAAATTAGTTACCTGACATAGGACTATTAGCCACAGTTATTATGAGAGGGCTGATGATACCTTACCCAATTGCCTGGGCTGAAGTAGAATGAGAGATGCCAATCCGGCAGTCATTGACTAGGAATTCAGCGCTTAAGCCAATCAACTATATCTATACCCTTTTTGAAAGTCTTTTGGGTAATATCATTTCATGATGAAAGCAATACACCACATACCAAATGTTATCCTATTTTGAAATCTCATAAGAACTACACATTTTATTGATTACCACTATTTGTATGCAATCTATTGGTGTATACAACTGCAGATATAGTCATACTAACAATGCGTAAATAAATCTTAGTGAGTTGTATGAAGTCGTAACAAATTATAAAGTACAATATATTAACACTTTCCATTGCATATTTGTATGCAACTGAAAGTAGTTGTACTATTTTTATCACAATTATCTATTACACTGAAAGTTAAAAGTAATCGAATCACACTCTCTCGTAGAATAAAGTTTACTTTCTATTAAGTCAATAAATAACTTAAGAGAATTTGTAATAGTAATAACAATAATAATTATTATATGTCGAGGTAGAATATACTACGAACCAATACCCACAACGGAAAACTCAGCGAGCACAAGAGTAAGACAAGACTGCCTACTATCACCGATGATATTCCTAATTGTCATGGACTGAATTATTGGGAACACTGTGAGTGGGGAGCAAGAAGACAGGAATATTTGGACCGATCAGAAGACTTTAGAAGATCTGGGTTTCGAGGATGATTTACGTTTAATGTCACACGGACCCGAAGACTTGCAGGCAGAAGAAGCATCAAAGACAGGACTTCAAGTAAACACAGAGAAGGCGGAGATGACGAAAACAACAAGCACAAATCAATATCAACGGAACAAATTTGAAAGAGGTCACTTCCTTCACTTATCTGAGAAGTATCCTTTCAATTACAGCCAACTCCACAGATGAGGATGTCGAAATCACCCAGAATCGGAAAGGCGAGGCAAACCTTCATCACTCTGATATCAGTTTGGAAATCTGCGCCTTCAATGACTTGGTGATTGGTGGCAGTGTGTTCAAACACAAGGCGACATGGATTTCACCAGATGGACACACCAAAAACCAGATAGACTTCATTTCAATCTCAAGGAAGTGGAGACGGTGCCTACTGGACACAAGATCGAGGAGAGGAGCAGATGTGGGTTCAGACCACTATCTAGTACAAGGGACTTTCAAGGTGAAGCTAAAAGCCTCGATGAAGGACAAAAGACAATTCTACGACAATCTGGCCACTGAAGCTGAGAAGGCAGAAGGGGCCTGAGGAGATTATATCAGATAACCAAGTCTCTATCCAGGAAGAGATCAACACAAGTGAAACCTATAAAAGACAGTCAAGGGAACCCTACCACCAAGAAAGAGAGACAGATTAAACAATGGGTGGATCACTTCAAAGGACTCTTGAACCGACAACCACCTGCAACCCGTCCAGAAATACCAACAACAGCACGTACACAACTGCAAGTTGACACCGATCCTCCAACGGAAGCTGAAGTCTTGAATGTAATCAAGCTTTTGAAAGCTGGAAAATCGTGTTGATGCCGGTCTCTATCCACATCTCTTCCGTAGTAATCATGATAGTAGTGGCGATCCCGATGTTTCCGTGAAAGCTCATATGTATCACTACGATCTCTATATCTGTAGTGTGACTTTGAGCGGGGAGGTTTCT